GCTGCCACTTTTATTCGAAACGGAGCTTTTTTTATGTCCCTCAAAAAATGAGGTTTACAGGATCTGTCAAAAAAGGGTTTATTTTCAACAGATCCACATCTAGACTGCCTTTTTTTCCCAAAAAAGCTCCGTTTCGAAAAAAGTGGCAGCCATGTTTATGCTAATGAAGCCGGGATATTTAAATCCCTGTTTAGCAATTTCCATGTGCCTAATCTACATCTCTCTGTCGACAGAGGTGTAGTCTAGACACACCTAGGAGACAGGACTCTTGAGTCTATTCCTGGCTCTTCTGATGCCTTGCTGTATGACCTGGCCAATTGCTCTTCCTGCAATGAATTCCACCTCTATAAATCTGGACTAGAGCAAGTCAGAAAAATTTGCTGTCGACAGAGCAATGCAGTCTAGACGTACCCACAAGCCCAGGCGGGCGCTTGCACGGGGCCATCCGCGGTGCCCGAGCGTGCTCAGAGGCCGTGCAACACACAAAGCGGGTTTGTAGCTCACTCCCACTCGTTGCTTGAAACGTGCCTGGCTCCGAAAATACAAGGCAGCTGGAAAAGGCTTGTGGGCTCCCCAGGCCCTGGGAGCCAGCCAGGGATTCGCTTCTCGAGGCCTGTCGTCGTACTTGCAGAATTGCAAGCTCTGGTACCCCACGGATCCATTAACGGATGAAGAATAAAGCAGCCGCTGCCCCATTGCCAGCCCCACCTGGGGCTCGATCGTAAGTGTTCCTCAGTGTCTCCTACCTAGCGCAGTCCTGCTGAGCGTGTGAAATCTGACCTGCTCCCAGCGCTGGCAGGCCCAGCTTACACGCTATGCAGAAATGAAGCCAAAGCAAATCATAATTCAAGGCTTTGTCTAGCTGAGTTTTGTCTGTAGCGCCTATCGCTTTGTAACCACCGTTAGAGGACCCTGTATCTCTTGTGGCTTCAAGAACGCTCATGAAACGCTGCTGCAGAAATCTCTGGTCGCGCCCACGAGCCCTGCAGCTTTCGGCACTGCTGCAGCCAGTTTACGGCAATTACTGCTGAGCCGCTGGCTCGGGGAATCCTAGAGCTGGCTCCTTTGTGGTTGGGGTAGTCACTGAGTCCCAGCCTGCAGCCAACGATCCAGCACTGAGCATGGGCAGCGTGAAAGAGTCGGCCTGCAAAGCCCTCCGAAAGGAGATGCTGGAGTCTGACTTGTAGCCGCTCAGAGAACTGCCAGGCTCCCGGCTGCTCACTGGGGGGGCAGTGATGCCTAACGTGGCCGGTACCTGGGCTTTAATCTCCCAAAACAGAACCCTCATGAGAAACCACCCCAGCCTTTCGGTTCATCTTTGGAACAACCCGCCAGGCTCACTCTGTGCCCAGGGAGCTTCCTGGACAGGCCTGTGCTCCCTGCGCCTGGCGCTGCTGCTCTTCCCAAGCGGGAAGGGGTTTAGGCAGCTGCAGGTGCATCTGGCCAAGTTCAATTCACTGCATGCGCCGTCCGGCACCGTTCCGTGAGCGGTACAACACTGAGGAATCCAGGCCTGTCCAGCCGCTTCACACTGTCTGCTCCACAGCGGGGGGCCAGATCCCACTGAATTCAGTGTGTCGGGCTGACATGCCAGGATTTGCCCAATAACACCATCACACACTACACATTCAAATGGGGGCAACTGATCCCTGGAGGCCAAAGGAAGCAGAATCCCCAAGAGCTCTGTGCACTTTGGATGTGCATTTGGTGCCTCGCACAGTGGGCAGTATTCCCGCTAATTCTGCCAACCGTGTGTGGAATAAATTTTGTTATGGGCGCCAACGCACGGGTGGATGTGCACCGCCAGTAGAAACACATGCTGCTGGCTGTGGGTGCTCTGTCAGTCAGCAGGGTGGTATCTGAACCTCTCAAACACTTAGCGTAAAGGGAACACTGACAGCGGGGTCCCGAACCCCCGCAAGGGACGTCAGGTGCTACTGCAATGCCACACTACGGCCGGTTGTGAGCCAGCCCGTTGTCTTGGTTGCTTGGAAAGAAATTCGACCCTCATTGCAAACTCAAAGAAACACACGCACGGCTCCAGCACTGGCCGATGCTCTTTGACTGGCTGCCCCAAGGCCGTCGCAGAATCTGGTCTCAGCACAGCCGCCAGAGTTCGCAGGCCTCCTCTGCCGTCATGCCTAGTCTACCAGTGGCAGGCTCCCTCTGCACAGCACCCTACTGAGCTGGGCCAGCCGCCCCAGGGACTTGTCCTCTGCCAGCCCCCAAACTGGCAGGGTTGCGTAGCCAGCAAAGCGGTGACCAAGTGCCAAGGGGCACATTGCACCCCCAGCTGCGCAGGGAACAGCTGACAGCCAGCTGAGTGTCAGCCCTGCAGGCGGGGCAGCACCGCGCTGGGGCCGCTTTAAGGCCGAAGTTCTCCACGCCACGCCAGCGTGGCTCTGTCTCCCTCGGGAGGCTGCAGCACCCAGGGACTCGGGAGCGAGGAGACGGCTCGTTTGCAGGCTTCCAAGTCATGAGGTGACATTTTCCTGCATGTGCCTACGGGCTCCAGCCAGCTGAGTGTCAGCCCTGCAGGCGGGGCAGCACCGCGCTGGGGCCGCTTTAAGGCCGAAGTTCTCCACGCCACGCCAGCGTGGCTCTGTCTCCCTCGGGAGGCTGCAGCACCCAGGGACTCGGGAGCGAGGAGACGGCTCGTTTGCAGGCTTCCAAGTCATGAGGTGACATTTTCCTGCATGTGCCTACGGGCTCCCCTGCCTCTGAGTGGCATTTATGTTGGAAAAGGCTCCTCCAGTTCCCAGCCATCTCCCTCCTGGGAGCCGAGGGCCAACTCAATCCCGGGCGTGGCCCTGCAGATTTCACCGCCCCCCACGACGTGTTCCTCCCCCCGCTGCGCTGCAGCCCCTTTGCGCTAGCCACCTCCCCCGCTGCCCGGCTACGGGGCATTTCCCTTTGGAGCCCAGAGACGGGCAGCGCTGAGCCTGGGCACGGCAGCGCTCGGGAGGCATTTCTCTCCTCTCTGCATCTCTAATTGCACTGCCTGCCCTTGAATTTACATACAAGACTTAAAACACAATTAATTTTTGGCAGCCAGCAAAGCCCAAACGAGGCTAATCCCTTTCGGTTTTTCATCGTTATCTCATTTG